GTTGCCCAGCGACAGCCCCAAAACATCACTGCTCTAGAGGAGATCTGCATGGAGGAATGGGCCAACATACCAGCAACAGTGTGTGCCAACCTTGTGAAACCTTACAGGAAACGTTTGACCTCTGTCATTGCCAACAAAGGATATATAACAAAGTATTGAGATGAACTTTTGATATTGACCAAATACTTATTTTCCACCATAATTTGCAAATAAATTCTTTCCAAATCAGCCAATGTGATTGTCTGGATTTTTTTTTCTCATTTTGTGTCTCATAGTTGAGGTCTACCTATGATGCCAATTACAGGCCTCTCTCATCTTTTTATGTGGGAGAACTTGCACAATTGGTGGCTGACTAAATACTTTTTTGCCCCACTGTACGAGACAAGTGCCTGAACTGGTGGCTTTGCATAGTGACAAGGTGGAGTTGAGGCCCAGGAATTCCTTCTTGCCTAAGGTAGTTTCTGCCGTTTACTTCAACAACCAGGATCTCTCTCTCTTCTATCCCTCTGTCTGACTCCAATTCACTAAAGAAATTTCAGTCAATTCTTTTAATGTGGTTTGGGCTGTGTAGTTTCTGCTATTCGCCTAACTGGGGATATTGTTCTTCATTTCCCTGCTAAGACACACTTTACGAGAGCTCCTTTTTATTTATTTTTTAAAGCATCAAACAACTGTTGCCAGATTTGCAAGGCTGTCACCTGGTCTCTTATGTTCATGTGCACTTAAGATTTTGCCAGTTGGACATTTTGGCCTCATCTGATGCCAGTTTTTGGTGCTTAGTCATCCAGGCGGCTATTTGAACTACAGACAGTCCTGCTCTGTTCTATAGCTGGTTTGTGTGCGTTTGCCATGTTGCCCGCCCCTCAGGTGAACCTATTTTTTCTGTTCCATAGGTTAAAGATTAGTATCAAAGCACGAGAGGTTTTCTACTAGCAGTAAAATCCTTTTCTTGGTGTCCCTTTTAGAGTCACAGGTACCACAACCCTGTGTTCATGGTCATGCTATTACTGTTTTGTTAAACTGAGGAATGCTAAAAGTTGAAAGAATTATCCTGAGTTGGTCTACAGTTTTTCCAGTATCCATTCTTCCTGTAGGTGGCAATATGATCACAAATTTACAGACTTAGGTGTCCTTCAGTGAACTCCAAGAAAATAATTTTATAGTGGGTACCATAATTACTGTAGATCTATTTCAAGTTTACTAAAGACTGTTTACGCATTCCACAGCACTATTTTAAGCATATTTTATACACTGCTAAAAAAAATTAAAAGAACACTTTGAAAACATCAGATCTCAATGGGGAAAAATATGCTGCATATCTATACTGATATGGACTGTGTAATGTGTTAGGATCGTAAGGATGCCCCATAGTTTGATGGAAATGAAAATTATCAACCTACAGAGGACTGAATTCAAAGACACCCTGAAAATCAAAGTGAAAAAATGATGTGGCAGTCTAGTCCATTTTGCTTAAATTTCATTGCAGCAACTCAAAATGGTACCCAATAATTTGTATGGCCCCCACATGCTTGTATGCATGCCTGACAATGTTGGGGCATGCTCCTAATGATATGACGGTGTCCTGGGGTATTTCCTCCCAGATCTGGACCAGGGCATCACTGATCTCTTGGACAGTCTGAGGTGCAACCTAGCATTGGCAGATGGACCGAAACATGATATCCCAGAGGTGTTCTATTGGATTTAGGTCAGGTGAGAGTGGGGGCCATTCAACAGTATCAATTTCTTCATCCTCCAGGAACTGCCTGCATACTCTCGACACATGAGGCCAGGCATTGTCCTGCACTAGGAGGAACCCGGGATCCATTGCACCAGCGTAGGGTCTGATAATGGGTCCAAGTATTTAATCGTTTTGTAAAGCACTGCGCAAACTGTCGGCGCTATATAAATCCTGTATAATGATAATTCCAATACCTAATGGCAGTCAGGGTGTGATTGTCTAACCTATAGAGGGCTGTGCATCCCTCCATGGGAAAGCCTCCCCAGACCATCACTGACCCACCACTTAAACGGTCATGCTGAACGATGTTACAGGCAGCATAACGTTCTCCACGGCTTCTCCAGACCATTTCAGGTTTGTCACATGTGCTCAAGGTGAACCTGCTCTCATCTGTGAAAAGCACAGGGCACTAGTGGCTGACCTGCCAATTCTGGTGTTCAATGGCAAATGCCGATTGAACTCTGTGGTGCTGGGCAGTGAGCACAGGGCCCACTAGAGGAAGTCGAGCCGTCAGGCCACCCCCATGAAGTCTGTTTCTGATTGTTTGGTCAGAGACATTAACACCAGTGGCCTGCTGGAGGTAATTTTTTAGGGCTCTGGCAGTGCTCATCATGTTCCCCCTTGCACAAAGGAGCAGACACTGGTCCTCCTGATTGGTTAAGGACCTTCTACGGCCCTGTCCAACTCTCCTAGAGTAATTTCCTGTCTCCTGGAATCTCCTCCATGCTCTTGAGACTGCTGGGAGACACAGCAAACCTTCTGGCAATGGCACATATTGATGTGCCATCCTGGAGGAGTTGGACTGCCTGTGCAACCTCTGTAGGGTCCAGGTATCGCCTCATGCTACCAGTAGTGATACTTACCCTAGCCAAATGCAAAACCTATTAAAAAAAAAAAAAAAAAAAGGCAGAAAAGATGAGTAAGGGAAAAATGTCAGTGGCCTCCATATGTAAAACCATTCCTGTTTTGGGGGGTTGTCTCATTGTTGCCCATCTAGTGCACCTGTTACGTTCATTAACACCAAAGCAGCTAGCTGAAACTGATTAACAACCCCCTCTGCTACGTAACTGACCTGATCAATATCCCAGGAGTTTAATTGGCTTGATGCTATACTCTGATTAAAAAGTGTTCCTTTAATTTTTTTGAGCAGTGTAGAATGGTACTGGACATTTTTGGATAGCCATATTTCCTTATTTGTCTGGAAATATTGAATTTCATCACCAACACCTTATCCTAGTTATAACCAATAGTAAAGAAAATATACTGGTTTGTAGCTGCATTGATTCCTTTGGACCTGAACAGCTTCCCAGAGCCACCAAATTTTAATAAAAAAAAAAATATACAGCAGAATATCAAGGAATCTGTAGGGAATGCAAATCCTAAATCAAGAAATATTTGGTTGTGTGACTTGACTCAAAACACGGGCACAAGTCAAGAGTGACTTGTAAGATGTAACTTAAGTCACCCAGAATTACATGACCATGGAAAATATTGTTTTCAATGGTGTCCATTTACATCAATGCAACACAGCACATAGTGATTTTGGAAAAGTTCTTGTACTACTTTGGTGCGATTCCAGCACAATTTTGGCCCCATAGAATATTCAGGCTTTAGCACTAAATAATCACACTGAAAGATCATAATTGCATTGCCGCAATGTGAATCTAGTCTTAAAAGTACTGAATTAAAAGGTCAGTATAATAGCCAGGCAGCTATTTTCAGAATCAAGTCAGTATGTTTTTCAAAATGTTTACTTTAACAGGGAAGTTCCTATTTAAAAATGATTCAGTCTTAAAAATTATACCATAGGATTTGTATGCGTTAAGTGTTTCAAGACACTTCAGTAACACACTAAAATGTTAGCAGTTCGGGTTAAAAATGTAACAGTTTTTACTCGTAGAACGTAGAACCAAACAACATCGAAAAATGTTGCAGGTTTGCTTAGTTGCTGAAATAATTTAATTGATAATAGAAAGGACATTCGAGCTCACACCTCACAGCCTCCTGAATGCCCCTCTTCTTCTTTTTTTTTTTTTTTTGACAGCCTTACAGTATCTTCTATGTAAAAACCACTGTTAATGCACATTATCTGTGGTGGGCAGTCAGGGTTAATAGAACTGTGGCTCAGCTGCCTGTTTTTACTTTTTCACCATGAACAAGGTGTTTTTTTTTACTAAATATACAGGTTTGGTTTACTTTTCCCACCTGTGACCTTGAATTTTTAGAGCTGAAGTCTAGACCACTAGCAAGCCCTAAAAAAAAAAATTAAAAAAAAAACCTTCAGCATCTTACTCATCTTCTGTATTGTGCCCAAAGTAGTTGTAGTGGAAACAAATTAGAATTAACAATCCTTTTTATTCCTGTTGTCATCATACACAGGCCACATCCTATCTGTAATTGTGTGTAATTTTAGTTGTAATGTGTAGTGTTAAAAATCAATTTGGTCTGTGCCGTGTTTCCGCAGTGGAGTCTTATCGCCTGGTCAGGGGTTCACCTCCTTTTTATGCTCCTACTTGGATTGTGAAGTAGTGGTGGAGGTATTGGTCATAGGATCCCCCCATTCCATTTTCTGGTTGAAATTGCATCTCCAAATGAAAGGCAGTAACCGCTGCATTTTCAAGCTTCCTGTCATTACCTACACTGCTGACCCCAAATATGCACTGGGCAATTAGAAAATAAATAATGGAAACTCTAGTTCCTTGCTATGCAGTTGTCTGAGATGTGACCTAGTGATGTCACATTTTCCTTTACTTAATGCCACTTTAAACATTTTGTGGGACACCATGGGTAGAGTATCTGAGCAGTTGATTTTTCATCTGTGGAATTATTTAAATTGTAAAGTAGTTAAACCTGCCAATGGGTTATGAACAAAATATAAGTTTAACTATGTGTAAATTTTTACACGTTAATGCATAAACTGTGTGAAAGTATATTTTTTGCTGTGATTTCAATGATTATCTGATCATGCTTTTTTTAATGCCTAAAATGTCCAGAATAAGTTTGACCAGATTTGTACCCATTAATTTAGTGAAGTCATTTTTTTTTTTTTTTTTGTATCTGCTGTAGAAAGCCATACCATTTCACTGCTTTATTTGGCAGATGATTGTATTACCTCATAAGTGTCATGATCTGATGATTGCTATAATGTATTTGCTACTCCTATGGCATGGTTTCCGAGCTTCTCTACATTACTTGGATTATGGTTTATCATTGGAAATGTTTTACCTTTTCTTTTTTTTATTTATTTTTTTCTTCCCTCCAGTGGTGTAAATTTGATGACGATGTAGTGTCAAGATGTACAAAGGAAGAGGCTATTGAGCATAATTATGGAGGCCATGATGATGACTTGTCTGTACGGCACTGTACAAATGCGTACATGCTGGTTTACATCAGGGAGTCCAAGCTCAGTAAGTATTCTGTTAAAACCCGGAAGGAGCATGCACATGCATACAAATATTATTTGAACATACGCCATCATATACACGTTTTGTCATTGAAGGTGTTGAGTATGCCAGTTTTATTTACACCCTGTACTACGTTTTACCATTTAAAAATCTTAACTAGAATTGTTGGCAGAATTGCCTATGGTCTGCAAATAATGAAGGCATCCTCTTATGTTGGTGTAACTGGCCAAAATAAAAGATGACATATATGATACAGTCTTGACAGCATTAACATAGCCTTTATTTTTCTGAATCCCTCTGTTACATTTATCTTGTGACCAGGTCATTTAGTCTGTTTTTTCAGCGTCCTTTCACAAACCAGGCTGTCTTTCAAAGGTGGCTGTTTTAAGTGTTGAGACAAACCACTTAAAACGTAATTAAAAACCCTCCATAACAGGAGGACCTTTTTGTGGGGGACACTTAAGATACTTTTCTTGTCCATACCTATACATATTGAAAAATATGAAAAACCCATTTTATCTTTATTTCAAGTCTAAGACTTGCTCTTTAAAAACAATACAATGTGTTGTGTTCCAATACATGTGTTTTTTACCTGTACATCGCATATATTTTACCTGTACATCACATATCTACTGCTAAACTCTTGTCAACTTGATTGAGTAGCTTTTTAGTACATTTCCCATTTCAGAAGACTTTTCTTCAGGTGGAGTGCAGATGTAAGTATCTATAATGTAAATCAATCTGAGATTAAGTTTCATCCTATTACACCATCTTTATTCAACATCAATGTGCTGACATCACATTCTTTCCTCACTGGAGCAACACAAATGAATGTATGTGTACACAATCGTACAAATGACATGGTTTTGCATTGAAAGTGAAGTGATGTAACATTCTTTTGATTCTGCTGTGTGATGAGACACCTAGCTAACATGTGGGAAGTCTCACTTTCGTTATTCACTGCGTGCACTGCTAGTAGTACGGAGTCATGCCAGAGCTTACTGAGCTTCAAAAGGGAAAATTGTTGGTGACCCTCCCTCCCCTCTCCCCTCTCGCCCTCCCCTCTCTCCCTCCCCTCTCTCCTCCCCTCTCTCCCTCCTCCCTCCCTCCCCCCTCTCCCTCCCCTCTCTCCCTCCCCTCTCTCCCTCCCCCTCTCTCCCTCCCCCCCCTCTCTCCCTCCCTCCCCTCTCTCTCCCTCCCTCCCTCCCCTCTCTCCCTCCCCTCTCTCCCTCCCTCCCTCCCCTCTCTCCCTCCCCTCTCTCCCCCTCTCTCCCTCCCCTCTCTCCCTCCCCTCTCTCCCTCCCCTCTCTCCCTCCTCCCTCCCCTCTCTCCCTCCCCTCCTCTCCCTCCCTCTCTCCCCTCTCTCCCCTCTCCCCTCTCTCCCTCCCCTCTCTCCCTCCCCCTCTCTCCTCTCCCCCTCTCTCCCCTCTCTCCCTCCCCTCTCCTCTCCCCTCTCTCCCTCCCCTCTCTCCCTCCCCTCTCTCCCTCCCCTCTCTCCCTCCCCTCTCTCCCTCCCCTCTCTCCTCCCCTCTCTCCCTCCCTCTCTCCCTCCCTCGCCCTCCCCTCCCTCCCTCCCCTCCCTCCCTCCCCTCTCTCCCTCCCCTCCCTCCCTCCCCTCCCTCCCTCCCCTCTCTCCTCCCCTCGCCCCCCTCTCCCCCTCCCCTCGCCCCCCTCCCCTCTCCCCCCCGCTCTCCTCTCCCCTCTCTCGCCCCCCCCTCTCTTCGCCCCCCCTCTCTCGCTCCCCCTCTTTCCCCTCTCCCCCTCTCACTCCTCCCCCTCTTCCCCTCTCCCCCCTCTCTCGCTCCCCCTCCTCTTTCCCCTCTCCCCCTCTCTCGCTCCCCGCTCTTCCCCCTCAATACTTTCCCCTCTCCCCCCCTCTCTCGCTCCCCTCTTCCCCCTCTTCCCCCCCTCCCCCCTCTCTCGCTCCCCCTCTTCCCCTCTCCCCCTCTCTCCCCCTCTCTCCTCCCCTCTCCCCCTCTTTCCCCTCTCCCCCTCTTCCCCCCCTCCCCCTCTCCCTCTCCCCCCTCTCTCCCTCTCCCCTCTCCTCCCTCTCCCCCCTCTCTCTCCCCCTCTCTCCCCCCTCTCTCCCCCTCTCCTCCCCCCCTCCTCTCCCCCTCTCCCCCCCTCTCTCTCCCCCTCTTCCCCCCTCTCTCTCCCCCCTCTCTCTCCCCCCCTCTCTCTCCCCCCTCCCTCTCTCCCCCCCCTCCCTCTCTCCCCCCTCTCCTCCTCTCTCTCCCCCCCTCCCTCTCTCCTCCCTCTCCTCCCCCCCTCTCTCTCCCCCCCCTCCCTCTCGCTCCCCCCCTCCCCTCTCTCACCTATTCCCTCCTCTCTCTCCTCCCCCTCCCTCCCTCTATCTCCCCCCTCTCCTCTCTCCCCTCTCTCTCCCCCTCTCTCGCTCCCCCTCTTCCCCTCTCCCCCCCTCTCTCCCCTCTCTTCCCCCCTACCCCCCTCTCCTCTCCCCCCTCTCCCTCTCCCCCCTCTCTCCCTCTCCCCCCTCTCTCCCCCTCCCCCCTCTCTCCCCTCTCTCTCCCCCTCTCCTCCCCTCTCTCTCCCCCTCTCCCCTTCTCTCTCCCCCCTCTCTCTCCCCCTCTCCCCCCTCTCTCTCCCCCTCTCCCCCCCTCTCTCTCCCCCTCTCCCCCCTCTCTCTCCCCCCTCTCTCTCCCCCCTCTCTCTCCCCCCCTCTCTCTCCTCCCCCCTCCCTCTCTCCCCCCCTCCCTCTCTCCCCCCCCTCCCTCTCTCCTCCCCCCTCTCTCTCTCTCCCCTCTCTCCTCTCCCCCTCTCTCTCTCCCCCTCATCTCTCTCTCCCCCTCTCTCTCCCCCCTCTCTCTCCCCCCCCCTCTCTCCCCCCCCTCTCTCTCTCCCTCTCTCTCTCCCCCCTCTCTCTCACCCTCTCTCTCCCTCTCATCCCCCTCCCCCCCCTCCCCTCTCTCCCTCTCTCCCCCCCTCTCTCCCCCCTCTCTCCCTCTCCCCCCTCTCTCCCTCTCCCCCCCTCTCTCCCCCCTCTCTCCCCCCTCTCTCCCCCTCTCTCCCCTCTCTCCCCCCCTCTCCCCCTCTCTCCTCCCCCTCTCTCTCCCCCTCTCCCCCCCCCTTCACTCTCCCCCCTCTCCCCCTCTCTCTCCCCCCCTCTCTCTCCCCCCCCCTCCCTCTCTCCCCCCCTCCCTCTCTCCCCCCTCCCTCTCTCCCCCCTCCCTCTCTCCCCCCTCCCTCTCTCCCCCCTCCCTCTCTCCCCCCTCCCTCTCTCTCCCCCCTCTCTCTCCCCCCTCTCTCTCCCCTCTCTCTCTCCCCCTCCTCTCTCCCCCCCCCCCTCTCTCTCTCCCTCTCTCTCCCCCTCTCTCTCTCCCTCTCTCTCTCCCTCTCTCCCCCTCTCTCTCTCCCTCTCCCCCCCTCCCCTCTCCCCCCTCTCGCTCCCTTTCCCCCTCTCTCTCCCCCCCTCTCTCCCCCCTCTCTCCCCCCCCCTCCCCCCCCTCTCCTCCCCCCCCTCTCCTCCCCCCCCCCCTCTCCTCCCCCCCTCTCCCCCCATCCCCCCCCCCCCCCCCCCATCCTCCCCCCCTCTCTCTCCCCCCTCTAGTTGGAAGCTAAAAAAGTGTGGGACATTTGAGTGGAGAGTGAAAAACAGTTTTGCTTTTGATTGCTGGTGCTTGTACTTTTATTTTCTTCTTTGGGGTCTTTTTAGCAGCTTTTACTTTTTTTAAATCATTTTTTCTGTTGCATTTTAAATAACATTTTTTTTTCCTTTCTTCAGTCTGCTGATTAAGTGAAGGGGTTAATTGGTGACAGGGGCTAAGGGTACTATATAACATTCTGTAGCGCTCACTCTGAGCTTGCTAATTCTTGCGCTTTCCTGTATTTTGCTTGCTGGCCCTATGATTAAGTGGAATTAAAAAACCGGAGCGGAAAAAAGGAGGTTATAACAGGAGTCTACTAACCTGTAAGTTATAACTGATATTTCCTATTCGTAATATTAATATTGTAATTGGGATGAGTGCTAGGAGGGTTGAATGTTTTCTGCAGTGCACAGTGTGCCGCATGTATGCAACAATGGAGTAACAGCTGCAGAATAGATACCGCTGCGGCAGATGTGAGCTGTTCGCCCTTCTGGAAGCTCGCATTAGAGATCTGGAGGACCAAGTTGCAACGCTGGGCAGAACAGACAACCTTGAAATGGGTCTTTTCTCTGAGCAGGTAGCTAATGGAATTCATATGGAGGATGGGGAGGGGCTAGTCATGATTATCAGGTAGGAAGATTGGTAACTGTTGCGAGAAGGAGTGGTAGGATGTGACTGCTATCCCTAACAGCCGGTAGGGCAGACCATCTGGGAGGGGTGGTGAGGGTAGTGCAGGAAGGCCTAGACAGTTGATGATAATAGGGGATACTATAATCAGAAGGTCTGACAGAATAATTTGTCACCAGGATCGTCTCAACCGAATGGTTTGCGGTCTCCCCGGTGCCAGGGTCGGCATGTGGTGGACCGGGTTGATAAATTACTGGGACAGACCAGCTTTTTTGGTCCATGTTGGAACCAATGACAAAATACATGGAAGGTGGAGGCTCCTTAAGAATCAATTTAAAGAACTAGACTGCAAGTTAAAGATAAGGACCTCCAAGGTGATGTTCTCTGAAATATTACCTGTGCCATGTGCAACTCAGGAAAGACGGGGAGATTAGAGAACTAAATGCGTAGCTAAAGTCTTGGTGTAAGAGAGAAGGATTTGGGTTTCTGGAGCACTAAGCTGACTTTTCATTGGGGTGCAACCTATATGCTAGAGATGGTTTGCACCTAAATGGAAGATCATCTGCTGTGCTGGGGGAGAGGTTTATGGGATGGCTGGAGGAGTATTTAAACTATGATCGAGTTTTTTCACCAGTGCCAGAAGTCAGCCAAGCAAAATAGGTGAGTTGGAAGCTTTGGTGCATGAAGAGAACTGATTTAATTGGTATTGCTGAATCTTGGCTTCATTCTTAACATGACTGGGCCATTAATATCCCTGGCTATGTTCTCTTT